CTAGGCATCTGCTGCCCCAGGGTGTCAAGTTATTATTGTTGTTCTTCAGTTGTTTTTCATTCACGTCTGACTCTTTGTGACCCCATTTGGTGTTTTCTTGGCAAAGATACTGGAGTGGTTTGCCATTTCTGTCTCCAGTTCATTTGACAGATGAGGAAACTGAGGCAAACAGGGTGAAGTGACTTGCCCGGATTTACACGACTAGTAAGTGTCTGAGGCTGGATCTAAATTCATGAAGATGAGTCTTCTTGACTCTAGGCCTGGCTCTCTGTGCACTATGGCACCACCTAGCTAGCCCAGGGTGTCCTAAGGAGTCAGAAATGGCTCCAGCTGAAGTCTCTTGAAATGAGCAGTCAGTCAACAAGCATTTATTAAGTACCTACTAGGTGCTAGACACTGTGCTAAGCCCTGGGACGTGTGTACCAGGAATGAAACAATCCTACTCAAAAAGAGTTCGTATTCTAGTGGGGAAGACACACTGTCCCTAGAGTATATTTATACCTGCTTATCCCTGTTTCTTTTCATGGATGAGGGAACTGTCTCCCCAAAGACTATGCCTCAGTATGTTTTGGCTTTGTCTTGATCCAAAGCCTGCTGGAGGCTCCTCTCTGACTATGACATGATGATGACATGTGAGTTTTCCATGGCTCTTCACATATTACTGAAGGTTTTCACACCTGTTAACACCCTCAGCAACCCCGTGATACAGGCACAGAAAGTGAGATGATCCCTATTTTACATATGGGGAAACTGAGGCTCGCTCAGCCCATAAATCATAGAACCAGGACTAGGACTCAGGCCCTCTGTATTCTCATCTCCCACTGTACAAAGCTGCCTAGCTTCTAATGTGACCACTGGGCAGTGCCCGTAGTTTGAGAGTTGGGAGAGATCTCAGCAGTCACGGAGTCCAACTCAGACCTAAAAGGAAACTCCATTCTAACATCCCCCTGGCAAGAGGTCCCTGGCCTCTGTCTGAAGCCTTCCAGTGTGGGGAAATTCAGCTTCCCCAAGGCAGACATGAATTGTTACTCACTTGTCCCCACCTCACTGCTCCTGGTTCTGCCCTCTGGGGTCCAGAGCAGAACAAGCCAAATCCCTCATTCCCGTGCCCTGTGCCAGCGCTAAGCTGCCCTTAGTCTTCTCCTCCCTGACCAAACAACAGGCCCGTCCACTGACCCTCAATGGAGCAGCCCTCCCCCATCCAGGATGCTGAGCTCCAGATGTTCCCCCACCATCAATAGTCTTCTAGAGTCTGTGCTGCTGTCCAAGGTTAGGTCTCCCCAAGGAAGCCTAGTGTAAGGGAATAAGCCAAGGCCTTGGAGTCCTAAGGTCTGGCTCTATGGTGCCAGGCTTTGCGGCTCATTAGCTCTGTGACCTTCAACTCCTCGGCCATAATTTCCTATGATGAGAGAGTTGGGCAAATGACCTCTGGGGCCCCTTCCAACTCCAGCTGGGATGCAGAAGGTTTTCCAAGTCACCAAGCATTTCCTGCGTATCCACTATGTGCCAGGCATTGGGTTAAATGCTGAGGATACAAGGAAAGCCAGTCCCTGCCCTGGAGAAGCTCCCAGTCATCATGAAGGAGACAACATGTGAACAATTACAACAAGCAAAGCACGGCCTGGCTAAGCCAGAGGGAAGGAACTGAGAAATAGCTTTGTGAAGAGAGTGGAACTATGGCTGAGACTTGAAGGTAGGCAGGGAAGCCAAGAGGCAGAGATGAGGAGGGAGAGAAATCCAGGCATGGGGGAGAGCCAAAGAAATGCAGGGAGTCTGGAGATGAAGGCTCTTGTCGAACCATCAAGGAAGCAGGGTCACCCAGTCAGGCTACTAAGGAGAGGATTGCTTTATCTTTGACCGGGAGGGAACTGGAGTTTATTGAATGAGTGACAGTGTCATACCTGGGCTTTAAGAAGATCGCTGACAGCTGACTGGAGGGTGGGCTGGCAGACCCACTGGCAGCTACTGCAGCGGTCCAGACATGAGGGGATGGTGGCAGTGCCAGAGAACTGAAGGAGATCTAAATGTCACAAAAGTTCAATCATCAGGCTTTAGAAATAGATTAGCTATAGGAGGTGAGAGGCTGAGAAGCTGGGAATGACTTCTAGATTGCAAGCCTGGATGACTGAAAGGATGGTTGATAGTACCTTCAGCAATGATAGGGAAGTGAGGAAGAAGGGAGGCTTAGTGGGACAGATGATGAGCAGTCTGGGACATGTGATGTTTAACAGGCATCCAGTTCAGAATGTCCGATAAGCCATTAGAGATGCAAGACCAGAGGTCAGGAAAAAGGTTAGAGATGGCAAATAGATCTGAGAATCATTTGCATAGAGACTATGGTCTCATTGGCAGGGTGCCAATGAGATGGCCAAATGAAACAGTGTACAGGGAGAAGGGAAGGGGGCCCAGGACAAAGTCTTTGGGAGACACCCACAGTTAGTGGGTGTTCTCTTGATGGAGATTCAGCAAAGGAGACTGAGAGAGACTGGTCAGCCAGGTAAGAGGAGAACCAGGAAAGAGACGGGTCACAAAAACCTAGAGAGGAGAGGGTATCAAGAAGAGGGTGATGGACAACGTGAAGCCTACAGAGAGGTCAGGAAGGATGGGGATTGAGAAAGGGCCAATTGCCCAAGCACTTAACCCCAAATTCACTTCCCTCTCCTTCGTGCTGGTCCATAAAACAACACGAAAATGGTATGGAACATGTGTTAGAGCAAGCAATGCCTTTGGTTGTTCCTGGAGCATCCCAGGAGGGCCTCAGTTTCTTCACCTGCACAGAATGTACTAGACAGTCTCTGGTGGCTCAGTCTAGACATCCTCCTGTCCTCAGCCTGATAACTCTGGGCACAGCCAGGATAGTTTTTCCAACTTGTCTATCACAGAATAATAGCTTTAGAGCTGGGAGGGACCAGAGAGGCCCAACATCTAACCCAACTTCTAATTTCACAGATGAGGAACTCCGGTTCAGAGAAGGGAATCCATGTGCCCAAGGTCATCTAATTAGAATTGTGGAGTCATAGAATTTAAAGCTGGCAACTGGTGGGGGGGGTGAAGACTAGAAAAAGGAAATTACTTTCCCAAGGTCACACAGTTAGTAAGCAGTAGAATCAAGATTTGAACCCAGATCGCTTGACTTTAAAACCCCAGTGCATTCCCACTCCATCATGGTCCTGTGTTCTAGCTTAGGAACCAGAAAAGGGGAGGAATCAGTGATAAAAGCCCGCAGGCATGTTAGGAATGTCATCTTCAGGTGGGAGGCTAGTGATCTTTAGCACTGACTTGAAGAACTCAGGTACTCACGAATGCTCATATGTCTTTATATTTTAATTTGGGTTTAAACAATACATTTTTTGTTAGAAAACAATTGCATTTTGAAGGCCCAGGCCAATTTTTCCTCTCCAACATTGGTGCTTTTTTTTCTAGTCAACAAAAGTGGCTTCTGGTATCAGATTCCATTAGGAAAGGATGAATCATGCAGGTGCCCATAGAGAGGAGGAGCCTGGACATGGTGTGAAGGAAGGATGCAGGGTGTCAGAACCATAAAAGGAGAGAAGCAATACAGTGGTTGGAATCTGGGAGAAAAATCTAACCACTGAGCTGGAGACAATAGCATTGCCACACCAAAGAAGACAGCAAAAGCCGGAATCCAGAGGTGCAGGTTAGGGCCGATATGCAGGAGCCAGAGAACGTAACAGGGCAGCTGAAATAAAAATGTGGGGTCAAAATAAGCCAACGGGGTCAAGGAAGACCAAAAATCCAAAATCAAAGATCAAAAAAGTCTAAATCAGAGGTCAGCCAGCTGGTGCTAGTCACTAAAGAACTGTTGCATGCTCAGTCCTTGCTGAGTAACCTTTTGCCACACATGCCAGCCCTCTCCTTTCTGCTATCCTGCCTTGGGACCTCCTTACACAGAACCACAGTTACGGGATTCCCTCCCTCTCCAAAAATGTCGTGTTCAAAACATCAGTTTTACATTATATATGTCCATGATAGTAAGTGGTGCTTAATAAATGCTTGGTGATTGGTTGGTTGAGATCATGTCTCAGCTCTCCCTCCCTCATGAGCCTTCATTTCCTTAGCTATAAAATTGGGTGCAAGAATACTTGCTCCATCTCCCTCACATTGTAATAATCTGTGAGGAGATGGGGAGTAAACTGGCTGAGCAATGTCAGATATTGTGATGGGGGCTGGGTTTCTAGCTGTAACAGAATCATAGACTATCAGTCAGAAGGGATCTCCGTGGCCATCTGGGCCAGCCCCCTCTCCGCTCCACAGACAAGAATCCCTTCACCAGCAAGAAGCCATTGGGGAAGTCGTTTGGGGAAATGAGGCCCCTGGGGCCACCTCACTCCACCTAGCCTCTGCAGGCTGTTGTCTGGTCACACTCACCCACAAGGTATCCCTTGGGGGCCCCACATCCCGGGCTGGGTAGCCCATTGGCCTCACCCACAGAGCCAACTCGGAGGCACCTATACACATGGCGGGGCCCTGGACCACCTGTGTCTCTGGTGAGGATGCTTTCTCGCTGAACCTCCTGGACTTAGAGGCTTCAGCTGAGGCGTCCCCAGGTCTCCAGGAGACAGCCCTCACCCAGCAGCATTCCACAGTCCCCATGGCAATAGGGCGCTGGCATTCTTGTTTCCAGGGTGACCCGAGTCCCTCAGCGTCCTCGGTTTCCACAGCAACCAGCCAAGGCCCCAGTGAAAGCTTGCTCCCTGCTCCACTCCCCTGGACAAGTCCCAGCAGTGTCTGCAAACGGCAGGTGAGCCAGGACTAGATGTCAGGAGAGCCAGGCCAGTCATTCCTGACACCAAGCCGGAGCTCCTCTGCCTGCAGAATCTTCTAGTGGAATCTGGGAATTGCAGTATTGGAATCATCCCTCCCCACCCACCAGAATCTCCCCTGCTGCCGATATCGAGGAAGCTTCTGCTGGGACTTCAGGAAGGAGCTAGATTTGCCTGGAGCTTCCCCCACCCCACTCTCTCTTTGTGGTCTGGGCCATGAGTGCTGAGGCCAGAGATCCAGGGGACCATGGGGATGAGAAGCCCAGGCTGAAGCTGGAAGCTGTGATCCAGGTCAGTTCACCTGTCCCTGCCACCCTCCCCCAAGTAAGCGGGCAAATGGATCAGACAGACAGACAGACAGGGGGAGAATGCATTACTCCTGGCCTGGCCTGGCCTGGCCTGGCCCCTCCTTACAGGGCCTCCCTGGTCTCCCTGAAGCCCAGCTGACAGGAAGTACCTTGTAGGAGGGGATCCCCAGGGAGATGCCTCCAGGGATACTCCCTGCAGTGCCCATGGTCTACCCTGGTCTGTACTATACCAAGAGTATATGCCAAAATGGAGAGTGTGGGATGGCATTAGGGAATTAGGAGAGAGAGGAAACCTCCAAGAAGAGGTCTGTGGTTAACCATCCTCCTGATCTATCCTCATACTTGCTTATCTTTCTGAAAACTACTTTGATGCGCCTATGGAGAGCTGATAAAAATTAGATACAAAGTTCATTAACTACAGTACAATTGGTGAAGCTGCCCGTGGGATCTCCAAGACCACGTGGCCCAGCCCGCACCAAGAACCTGCAGTTTGGACACGGAGGCCAGAGAAGAAGAGGGCTTTTGTCTCAGGGGTCATCGGTCCCAATTTAGAGCCAGGAGCGATCTCAGAGAACACTCAGCCCAACCCCCGAGTTCTTCACAAGAGGAAATTGAAGAGAAGGAGCTATTCTAATGGAAAGAGCTGGGTTCAACTCCCAGCCTTAACCACAAGTGCTGCCCTCCCTCTCTGTGTGCCTCAGTTTCCTCCTGTGGAAAATGAAGGGGTCAGAGTAAAGCCAGTAAAGTTCTCTAACCTAGGGTCTGTGAACTTTAATAAAAACTATTTCAATAGAATTGGTCTCCTTTACAATCCTACATATTTAATTTTATACATTTAAAGACATAATTCTGAGACAGGGTCCGTAGGCTTTACCAGACTCCTCAAGGTGGGGGGGGGGGGAAGAAGGGGTTCATGATGAAGTATAGCATTTGTTTTGTCCTTGTACCCTAAGGACCGTAAGGACTGCTAGGAACCTTTCCTTCTGACTTACAGCTGAAACTGTAATAGGGGAAATGTGAAACGGGAGATATGTACTATCTCCCCCATTCAAATGGAAGCCCCTGAGAGCAGGGATCACCCCACTTTTCTGTGTTTATCCTCAGCTCTTAGGAACACATAACTGTTGTATAATTTCAGTCATGTTTGACTCTTCAGGACGCCGTTTGGGGTTTTCTTGGCAGAGATACTGGAGTGGTTTCTCCAGTTCATTTTACAGATGAGGAAACTGAGGCAAACAGGGTGAAGTGACTTGCTCAGGGTCACACAGTTAGTAATTATCTAAAGCTAGATTTTAACTCAGATCTTCCTGACTCCAGTTCTGGTACTCTATCCACTGTGCCACCTAGCTGCCCCGCAAAACACATAGTTAACAGATGCTTCATTTATTCATTTGTTCATAACACAAAAAAGTAAGAAACTTTGAACTGAATGGTGCCTAAGGTCCCAGTTTTAGCTGCTGTGTTCCTCCTGAGGAGCAGCCTAGGAAGAGATGAATCCCTGGTCCTCACAGTGATAAGTGAGGTTTCAAGGGAGGCGTAATCTGCATGCAGGAAGCTAAAAAAAACCCTGAAGTTCTCACTGCCACCATTTTCCTACTTTCTCCCCTCCTCTCCCCATTAAAATGTGAGCTACTTGAGGGCAGGGACTGTTTTTGCCTCTCTTTCTCCCCCCCTCCCAGTGCTTAGCACAGTGCCTGGCACACAGAAGGTGTTTAATAATTGCTTGCTGACTGACTGACTGACTGACATTTCCTTCCCCAAATCCTCATGCTGACACCTTCACAATTTGTGCTCATCCCCTTAACGGACTCCGTCTTTCTCAGAGTCATGGTTCCATGCTCACGAGCTTATACCTGTTTGTGCTGACTGAGGTTTGCTCTGGGCTGTGTGTGTGGGGGGGTGTTTATATTCAAAATTAAGGTGTCATTGAGAACTTGCTTTGGCTTAGAAGTGGTGAGACTTAGTGGTCTCAGGGTCCAAGTTTTGCCTCTGCTGAATGAATGGCTATGTGACCCTGGGCAAGACACACCCTGTCAGTGCCCCATCAGCTCTGGAAGACAGGGATTCTTGGCCTTTTGTGTGTCCTGGAGCCCTTTGGCATCAGTCTGGTGAAACCTCTACATCTCTTCTCAGAATCATGTTTTTTAAATGCATAAGATTCCATAGGAAATCAATTATTTTGAAATATAGTAATAAAAACTATTTTTTAAAAAAGTTTGCTGGCTGGTAGTGGTGGAACACCCCAGAAATCCCTGCTGCTGGGGAAGCTGAGGCTTGGGTGTTCTGAGCTTCAGTGGGCTCAGAACCCAGGCTCCTCACTAAATTTGGCATTGATGTGGTAGGGGGAGGGAGGATGCAGGAGAGGGACAAGGGATGCTCCAGGATGCCTTGAGGAGGGACATGCAGGCTGAGATCAGAAATAGAACAGGTGAAAGCTCCCATGCTAATCAGAGAAGACTTGGCACCTGAGCAGGCCCTGCACTTCCAGCCTCAGCTGGATAGGGAGAACGAGGCTAGAAAAAATTTTACATATCCCTGATTAGGAACCCCTAAGACAAAGATCTAGAACAGGGCTTTATCTGCTGGTAAAGGGGATTTTCTCACTGTACTAATGGAATAACAAATCTGGCTTAAAAAAAATAACACTGGTTTGGGACACATATGGTGATTCAATAAAGTCAGTTCCTAAGTTTACAACTGGACACACACTGACAGGACTTTGCAAAACAAGACAAGACACTCTCTGTTGGCATGTTCATAGCAGGGAGGGGGGACAACAATGAGGGGAAGTGGCCTAAATGTCCCTGTATGTATCAATAAATGATGGTATATCAAATGCCATGAAATGACATTCTGACAAGTATGAGGACTATGGAGAAAGAGGGGTGCCATTTACGAAATACCACAAAAGGAAAATAAACCGTCCTCAGAACCCAAACTACACATTGTGCAAATGAATGGACAGGGGTTTCTGACTTAGAGGAAGGGACCAGAGAGGAAACTTTTTGCATAGAAATTGGCCAGTGTGAATTGGAGCAAGTTGGGTTAGTTAGGATGCTTGGTCTTTTTTTTGAAATAAAGTTTGTCATGCAGCAAAATCACCGAAGCTCAGGATTGGAAGATTGGGCTGGTTAATGTCCCCAGTCTCCTTCGGCTCCATAACTCGTGACCTCAGGAACCGCTTCCCAAGGTCCGCCATTAGTGCTCCCATTCCCGGCTCAGCAACACCTCAGCATGTGGTACCCGGGGAGGGGTGGGGCTTGCCAGCAGCTCTGTCTTCCCCTGGTCCAGAACAGCTGGTGCTGAAGTCATGTGTCCCGAGCTAGTCCTTGGGGAGACAGATGCTAATCAGAGCAGGTGGACTTCAAGGAGGACTGGCTTCAGATACATGAAAGCTCCTCAGGGGCAGCAACAGCAACCAGGCGTGGCTGCAAAGGGACAGCAAGCACATAACCTGTCATTTGCACCTGACGACGGTGGCTATCTGCACCTGAAGGCCTCCTGCTTTGCAGGCAGGCGCCGCCCGGATGGCCAGATAGGCTTTGCTCCTTCTCAGTAGAAACTGGGCTTTTTTCCAGTGTCTCCTGGGGAGTCCAGAACATCTTCCCACCTCTCTGTGCTAAGGCCTGAAGGAGAAAGGAAGGGAGGAAACATCAGAGTCCTCTGAAATATCCTGGTCTCCCTCATCCTGCATTTCCACAAAGCAACTAGAGCGAAAACAAATAAATGAACAAACAAAACCGGAAACAAAACCCAGGTTCTTAAGCATTCAAGGAATTTTTCATTAAAAAATTAAAATTAAAAAGGAGGGAAGAGAAGCCTATTTGTAGAAAGATAATAAATAATTAAATAATAGCATTTATAGAGCACTTTAAAGTCTGCAAAGCCCTACACACACACACACACACACACACACACACAATCTCATTTGACATATTATTAGGTGCTGCTATTATTTGCATTCACAGAGACTTGGAAAGAGGTTAAATAACATGCCCAAGTCTTTCTCACACATACATCACATTTACACATATGCAAATATATTAATTTATACATACAGATATGTAATACATATACTGTGTATACATCTCTAAGTACACATATACATACACATATGTATACAATAGACTGGGACACATCCACTATAATAATCATAATTCTTATTGTTGTCATAGCTGACATTAATGTAGTATTTTGAGATCACAAAAAACACTTTACAAACATTAGCTCATTTGAGTCTCATGACAACCCTGTGAGATAAGGGTGAAGGCTATTATTATTCCCATTTTGTCGATGAGGAAACTGAGGCTGAGTGGCTATATGACATGTTCATAGAACTACCAGAGGCAGAACTCAGACCCTTATCTTCCTGACTCTGAGCCCAGCTCTTTGCCTGCTGGGCCACACTGTCTGTGATCTATATAGCTTGTTATGTTGTCATAAAGAAAAATCAATTGCAATATCACCTCAGTAAGTCACTTAACCTCTTTTTGTCTCAGTTTTCTCATCTGTAAAATGGGGATAATAATAGCATCTACCTTCTAGGGTTGTGAGGATCAAATAAGATAATGAATGTAAAGTGTTTATTTAGCACACTGTCTGGTACATAGTAGGCACTCTGTAATTGTTAGTTACTACTAATAATTATTATTATTATCATCATCACTAATACACAGAGGCAGAACTGGATAGGCCAGTGGATAGAACACTGGGATTGGAGTCAGGAAGACCTGAGTTCAAATCCAACCTCGGAAACTTACTGAGTGTGTAACTCTGAACAAGTCACTTAAAACCCATGTCTGCCTCAGTTTCCTTATCTGTAAAATGGGGATAATAATAGCTTCTATACCACTGAGTTGTTGTGAGGATCAAATGAGATAATATTTGTAAATAGCTTTGAACATCTTAAAACACTATATAAATGCCCACTATTATTACTTATAACAATAACTGATGTTTATGTTGCACAATAAAATTTGCAAA